AGGACTTCTCCTCTTCAGATGCGTTCTATGTGAGCCAAAGCCTTGGCTTGAAAACAGACACCTGTTTGTTGAGAATAGATAGGAACAGAATATATTTTTCTTGAATTTTCTCCCAGCCTGATGAAAATTACCTGTGACACCAAGAGCATCACTTACTGTGATGCCAAGTTCAAATTCATATGGCTTGATGGGTGCTTCAAGACTCATAGCTCCATGGACAAAGTCAAGTCATTGTAAGCCATAGAATCAGCAATGCACCACGAAAGAGGAGTTGTTTCCTTCTTCCTTTGAGGGAATGAGCCTCACTGTTCATTAAGATGCCTCCACCATGTTGTTGGATCATCCAAATGTTCTTCCAGCCATGAAGGAACTTCTCATGGATAAAAGTCTCCCACAGTTCTGGCTCATGCCTAAAAAGTGTGTATTTGTTTTTGTGGATTTACATTGGGTTTCTGAGGAGAAGCTCAGCAAAGCAAATATTGTTCTCCCTTGGAGAATGATACAGGTTGACTATCATTTATCCGGAATTCCAAAATCCAAAATACTCCAAAATCCAAAATTGTCCATATGACTGGCTTAGATAGTGACACTTTTGCTTTCTAATGGTTCAATGTACACAAACTTTGTTTCATGCACAAAATTATTTAAAATATTACTTATAAAACTACTTTCAGGCTGTGTTTATAAGGGCTATGTGAAACATAAATGAACTTAATGTTTAGACTTGGGTCCCATCTCCAAGATATCTCATTATGGATATACAAATTTTCCAAAATTTAATAATAATAATAATAATAATAATAATAATAATAATAATAATAATAATCTGAAATCTAAAACACCTCTAGTCCCAAGCATTAAGGATAAAGGAGACTCAACCTGTATTTTGATCTCTTCCAGATTACGGGTCCCCAGCATTCTTGAAAAAGACCCAGTCACCAGCCCGGACTTCGGACAACTTATATTGTGGACACAATGGCTTGGATTGGTGAGTTTACCATAAGGAAGATGGAAAAGCCTTTCTGGGTTTGGGCAACAACAGTGGCTGCCACAGAAATCACAGTTAGACAAGGATGGAAGGCTATGTTCCTCCTAGATCCTATCAACATTACAAAGTCAAACTAGTTTGCATTCGAGGAAGAGGATTTTGTACCATCAGAAATTGGTACTTTGTGTTCTGAGGGTTCACTTCTTCCAATTTCCAGTAAATCTACCCAGTTCAGCATCTGTTGATCTGCTTTAGCTGATCCAGCACCTAACTTGGTTCTGGTGCAGGCTGGATGGCTGTTGGAAACATGTCCTGCTGATCTACCTGACACTTCTGCTGCTGCTGTTGCAAGTCATTTGTTTGGAGGTCAGAACAAAGTGCCCAGTTCATGGGATTTTCCATGGACTCTTTGTTCTGACCTTAAAGTGAAGCAACCTATTGTGGGCAGCTCAGAAGGACAAATTTCAAACAGCCACTTGGCATCACAATGGAGTCAGTTTCTGGGCCAATGCACACAAGGCCTTAAAAAGACCTAGGTATGAGATGCTGCTGCTGCTGCTGCTGCTGATGATGATGATGATGATGAGAGAAAAATGAGAAATTGCACAGAGGGAAATGCAAAATTGCATGGAGGGGAAATTGCATGGAGGCAAGGATACAGAGGCACAGCATGAGTCTCAATAACAGCAGTCTTTCCTGTTCTGGGAACAATCTCTACTTTGCAAACAGAAGGGAGAGAGGAGCATGGGAAAAGGACAAGAAGTGGTCAGTGACAGACCTCACAGCCACTTCTTTTCTTTTACAGGAGAACTTGGGAACCAGCCGATGTTTCCGCTACAGAGCCCAGGAGTATCTTTGACTATGAACCTGGGAAATCATCCATCCTCATTGATTCCATTTCGGTATGCAGTCCACCCTGGCTTTGGATGTGAAATATTTATTGATCTGAGCTGGTAACAGTCCTGCATTATGTTTGCAATGGATCATGTATTGTCAATCAGTAGAAGCAAAGTGGAGTGCCAAGGCTATAAAGCTACACACACTGCTGGCAAATAAACCTTGGTGAATGCAGTGGGACTTAGGGCTTGTCTACACATAAGTGTACTATGCAAATTGCTGTAGATATTTGCAGATTTGCATCAACTGCTAGTTGTCTTCACTTTCCTGTGCAAATTTGCATCTGTTCCCCTCCCCTCTGCTGAAAATGTGCAGCCATCTGAATCCATTTCTGCGGATTTTCGTGGATACTCCAGTAAAAACAGCAAAACCTTTTTCTGCGGAGTTTAAGGAGCTTTTGGGGGGCTCTCTACCAAAAGCCCAAACTGCAATTCTTGTGTGGCTGGACCATATTCTATTCCCCTGGAATGAGGAGTATTTTAATCCTGTAGACTAGCCCTTTAGTGATTGCATATTTCTTCTGCACAGCTCATTGTGCTGAAACTAAAGCAACAAACCCTGAACAATAGTCACAACACCATATGGAGAATTACTTTCAGGAGTGGGAAATCTCCATCCCCAAGCCACTAGTTCTGATTCAGGCTGGAAAACGGGGATGTCAGGTTTGATAATGCTCTCTTAGCACCGTAACCTCTCTGCTGGAAAATTTAATTTTCCATCTATTGATTTTTTGCAGCCTAAGAAACCCTTCAGTGCATCTCCACCACAAGTCCGGCCAGTCTCCCCACCTATTGAGGTGAGTACTTTGCAGTGCCAAAGGACAACCATGCTTAACCCGTGGGCAGAGAGATAGAACTGAAACCCAGCTAAGCATATGCTGCAAACATCCATGGAGTGGGTGATGGTGATGGAAAGACATCCTCCCCAGCATAGAAACTAAGAGATCAGGCAGGAGGGGATGCTGCCGTCTTTGAGTTCCTCCCTGCAGGGTTCTCCCAAGACGGCTGGAGCGCAGCTGTGTTTACTGGCTTCCATGGAGCAGGATTCTTTGTTATTTCCTCTTCCTTTCTCCTCCTCCTCCTTTGCCTTGAACATTGACCCCCACGTTGCCTCCACGCTGCCAAGAAATACATGACATGCTTAGAAAGAAAGCTGCAGGTTAGGAGTGTGGAGTGATGCTGTGGTCTCCAAAATATCAAGAAGGCCAGCCGTAAAGCCAGGTGCTCCTTTGGCACTAAAGTCAGGCTCAGGTGTATACCAACTTAGAACAACAATGACAGTAATAATAAAATTAAAACTACCCAAGAAATCAACATTCTGTACATAAAAAGGGCTAGATTCTGCTATTGACATCAGTTACCTTAATGAAGACAATAACACATCATTTATCCTGTTGGAAATCATGTAGTCTTTGCATTTTTCTCTCTGATTCTGTTTCATGGGAAGGGCAGGAAATCATGCAAGAGGTTTTTCTATTTAAAACTGCCCACACAAATACTTTTAATGTATTGATTGTATGGTCTAGCTGGGGCAGCAGAGTGTAGTTGATCATACCATTTTTGTCAGCGCAGTGGAGGTCTGTATGATCCTTCCTATGAAAAAGTTGAAGTGCCTTGCATAGAGAAGAATAGCATGCCAGGGCAAAGGGTTCTGATTTACAGTCTTTTCTGGATGCATTACTTTTCTGTGTATAGGAATCATTTTTATAAACGAGCAGTCTCTGTGTGTATATATCTGTGCATGCTTATTAATGTGGGAGGATTTTGTCATCCTCTGCAAACTGAATTGACACACTGGGGGGAAAAATGAGGCCTCGGTGTCCATATCCCTGTCTCTCCATCTCTGCATTTTTTCTTATGGATGCATTTCTGTGCGCATGCACTTGACAAGTTGTTCCCATGAATGCAATGGGTCTTCTATGGTTGTTGTATCTGCTTGGCTGCACAGTAGTGTTTTTTAGCCCTGTGGTTCTTAAACACTGGCCTTCTTGATATTTTGGACTTACTCTCAGAATTTGACGCTGGCATGGCTATTGACCAGGGATCAATGATCAGGGATCAGAACATCTGGAAGGCTAAATGTTGAGGATCAGTGCTTTAGTCTAATCGACTCTCTTCCTATGTCAATGATTGAACCCTGGGGCAGCGCATGGTGTTATTTATTATACATTTGTTCTCTGGCATTTCTGTAGAGTGGGCACATTGCTGCCCATCATGCTTCTCCTTTGATTCATCCTAACATTGGTGTAGCTTGCTCACTGGGGCCTCTCCAGACTCTTACTTACTAGCTACATATTTCTTTCTCAGGAATTACTAGAGAAGGAGCTACAGCAGCTCAGCGAACAGTTGGACAAGGACATTAAAGCCATTGAGAGGCGGCAGCTTGCCCACAAGGTAAACCTCATTGTTTTCCACTTACAAATAGGGTGGGAAAAGCTTTAGGGTTGTAAAAGTGTAATAGAAGCATCCCTTTTGCCAAGTTGGGAAAAATCCATTTGGCAAAAGTGACATTTTTACCACCCTCTCCCACATTTTTATGACTGGAAGAGAATGAAAGATAAATGCGCTTCTCTCCGTTTGCTTGCCAAGTTTGTTTTTAATGCAATAAGGCTTCTAGTTTCATTTTCTCCTTTCATCTACGTTTTTAAAATCTCTGATATCTCCCTATAAGAGTCCCCCTACATCTTGAGATCTTTTGGCAAGGCTCTTCTGTCTGTCACCACCCTCACAGATACATCAGATAGGAACATGGGAGAGGGCCTTCTTGGCGGTTGCTCCCAAGGTCTGGAACTCTTTTCCTAGAGAGTTACTTCAAAAATATTTTGCTTTACTGAAATGTTATGTACAGCATAATCAGAGGTGTAGCTTGGGGGGGGGCATGGGCAAAATGAAGGCATTGCCCCCCCCCTCTACATAACAATTCTGCCCAAATCAAATCTTCTTTCAGTCCACACATGTTGTTGTTGTGTGTCTTCAAGTCATTTCCAACTTATGGTGAGCCTAAGGTGACCCTATCATGGAGCTTTCTTGGCAAATTTCTTTGGAACAGGTTTGCCATCACTATCCTTTGAGGCTGAGAGAATGTGACTTGCCCAAGGCCACCCAGTGGGTTTACGTGGCCAAGCCAGGTTTCGAACTCTGGTCTCCAGAGTCATAGTCCAAGATTCAAACCACTGCACCACTCTGGCTTTCCAGCAACTTAAACTTAAAACTTCAATTGAGCAATGCATTTTAGCCATCCAAAGAAAAGTTGCCAAGGGAATGCAAACATAGCAAATGTAAGAAGTCAATGATTTTCATCGTCTCGCTTTCTTCAAGGCCAGATATGTGGCGACTGAAGGGAAATTCCATTGGGAAGGCACAATTTTTATTTGCAGGGGCAGTGCCATTATTTTGCTTCCCCCTACCCCCATAAATATAATCCTATGCATTTTACTTTAAATTGAGTATCAGTGCATTCTGTTCTCTAGACAGCAGCACCAGACTTGTAACTTGTAATTATAGCATCAGGAAAAAAAATACCTCTGTCTCTCTTCAGGGAGATGAGATTTTGTTTTAAACTTATGGAAGTAATTTATTACTCCATCCTTCAACAGGATCTCAGAGCGGCTCACAAGGAATTAAAATTTCCTGTTCATAATGTACTGAAATGTTGAAGTACAACCCTAAATTCGCCTATATACTCTGTTAGGGGCAAGTGTGTTTCAGACTGATGTTGTATCAGTATCTCTCAGTTTTGCAATCAGTAGTTTATGTTGATTGCTAATATTGTGGCTTTGTAATTAAAATATTATTTATCATGTTATTATTGAACATAATTAAAAAAATGAGCAACATATTGCTTGGACCTTTTGTGGAAAAGCTGGGCAGAGATCTGTCCAATGAACAAATATAAAATGAATAACTAGGAACTTTTCAAAAAATAATTTAAAACAACATTGTTTAAAAGGGAGTCCCTTATTTGAGGGTTAGGCAGCTTTCCTTTTATATAGATGGGATGGGATGCCAAATATATATATATAATCATGTATATATTCGTATTTGTCTGGAATATCAGTATGCGAAGGGGTCTTGTAGTGCCTTTGAGACTAACTGTGCAAAAGAAGCCACACATCTGAGGAAGGAGGTTGTATCCGCACTGCAGAAATAATGCAATTTGTCACTGCTTTAACTGTCATAGCTCAATCATCCTATGGAATCCTGGGATTTGTAGTTTTCTGTGGCACCATACCTCTCTCTGACAGAAAAAGCTAAATAGCTCACAAAGCTACAAAGCCCAGAATTCCGTATCATGGAGCCATGGTAGTGAAAGTGGTGTCAGCCTGCATTAATTCTGCAGTGTAGATGCAGCCCAAGCCTACGAAAGCTTATACTACTTCTTTATATATAACTATATGTGTGTGTGTGTGTATATATAACTATATATATATATATATATATATATATATAGTTATATATATCTTTATATAACTTCTTTTGCACTGTTAGTCTCAAAGGTGCTACAAGATCCCTTTGCATACTGTATATAGTGTGAGCAAGATGCAAAATAAGTCCTGTATTTTGGAGGTTTGTCTCTTCCTAAATTAAATGTGCATCATATAATTTAAGAGTATGGACAATATGTTAATAATTTTTTTTACACGGTAACCAATACTTTGGGTTAACTCCCACACTTGTTTTTAGCTGCTTCTTGGTGATCAACTCTACTTGTCATGAATTTTGATGGTCTCTTATCTCAGAAAACCTGGCAACACTTAGGGCTGCGTCTGCACTGCAGAAATAATGCAGTTTGACCCCACTTGGAATTGCTAGGGCTCCATGCTATGGAATTTGGGGCTTTGCAGTTTTGTGAACCAGTGTAGTGTAGTGGTTTGAACATTGGACTGTGACTCTGGAGAGCAGGGTTCGAATCCTGGCTCAGCCATGGAAACCCACTTGGGCAACTCACACTCTCTCAGCCTCAGAGGATGGCAAGGGCAAAACCCCCTCTGAACAAATCTTGCTAAAAGCACACAACGGCAACCAAGTTTTGGGAGCTGCTTCGCCTTCTCTGTCAGAGAGCAGCCACAACAAGCAACAAAGTCCCAGAGTCTGGAGCCCTGGCAGTTAAAGCGCTATCAAACTGCAATAAGTCTAGAGTGCAGATGCAACCTAAAGACAGATTTTGACAGATCCTTGTCGGTCTTTAGGACCCAGCTGTGTCCCTGGCAGCTCCTTGGAAAGCCCTGCCTGCGATCACTTTCCCCGCCCGGCTGGGCTGGCAACTTCTTTGCTTTTGGCTCCAGTTGCTTCTTTTCCTTTTCCTCTCTTTTCTCTTTCTTCCTTTCTCTTTGCAGGGTTTCTCCTCGTCCCTCGCCTCTGCCAGACCCTCTTCTCCGGCCTCTGCTGCCCAGTGGTGAGTATGGTCCAGCTGTGGGGAGTTGGCACCCTTGGCACCCTTGGCACAGGTGTTGGTGCCCAGCCAGATATTGTGCCTTGCTTTTTCCAGCTTGCCACTCCTTGCCTTGCCTTGCCTTGCCTTGCCTTGCCTTGCTCCTGGTGGCCTCATCCAAGAAGCATCTGGGGTGGAGCAGGGCAGGAAAGGGAGAGGGAAGGAAGGGCAGAGTGTGAAAGTGAAGAAAAGAAAAGAAAGAAGAGAAGAGAAGAGAAAACCCTTTGGAGAAGGAGAGGGTTTGCAGGATAGTTATTTGGGTTTAACCATAGGCGACTGTGTCTGTATGTCAAGGGAGCCTACATACCCTTAAAGGCACCAGAGATCCCATCTGATCTTGGGAGCTAAGCAGAGTCAACCCTGGATAGTCCTTGGATGTGAGACTGCCAGCGAATCCCAGGCATTGGAAGCTCTATTGGAGAGGAAGGTGCTGGCAAAACCACCTCTGAGGATTCCTGGCCGAAGAGAACCCTATGAAGTTCAGGGGGTTGCCGTAAGGCAACATGGAATACCTTAAAGCAGGGGTAGGCAACCTTTCCCCTTTAAGGGCCGAGGGACTTCAGCTCCCAGAATCCCAGGAGCTATTGGCCAACATGGGACTATTGGCCAACATAGCTGAGGCTTCTGGGAGCTGAAGTCCCTCGGCCCTTAAAGGGGAAGGGTTGCCTACCCCTGCCTTAAAGGCATCCGATCCCATCTAATCTTGGGAGCTAAGCAGGGTGAGCCCTGGATGGTGCTTGGATGGGAGACCGCCAAAGAATCCCAGGTTCTGTAGGCTCTGTTTGAGAGGAAGGTACTGGCAAAACCACCTCTGAGGATTCCTGGCCAAAGAGAACTGTATGAAACTCATGGGGTCGCCATAAGGCAACAGGCAACTTGAAGGCATACACACACAATACCCTAAAGGCACTGGAGAGGGTTTGCAGGACAGTTATTTGGGTTTAACCATAGGCTACTGTGTCTGTATGTCAAGGGAGCCTACATACTCTTAAAGGCACCAGAGATCCCATCTGATCTTGGGAACTAAGCAGGGTCAGCCCTGGATAGTCGTTGGATGGGAGACCACCAGCGAATCACATGTGCTGGAAGTTCTATTTCAGAGGAAAGGACCAGCAAAACCACCTCTGAGTGTAGGATATCTTGCCTAAGAGAACCCTATGAAACTTATGGGGTCACCATAATGGAACTTGAAGGTACACACAAAGAGAGCGCTGCTGTCCAGGGAGAAGCAAGACACACCTGTGGGATTCTGTGTGGACACATCCATCCTTTTGTTGCTGTTGTGTGCCTTCGAGTCGATTCCGACATATGGCAACCATAAGATGAACCTGTCATGGGGTTTTCTTGGCAAGATTTGTTCAGAGGAGGCTTGCCATTGCCTTCCCCTGAGGGTGAGAGCATGTCACCTAGTGGGTTTCATGGGTGAGCCAGCCTTTTAGGACATGGTTAAATGGAGCCTCCTGCATTAGAAGCAGTGTACCTGTGTGTGAATTAATTCTATCGCAGGAGCTTCTCTGAAAGATTTGGCTGCTTGCTGTTGAATGGAATGCTTGGATCCCTTTGTGGACTCTCTTGGTCTCTTGCGACAAGGCCATTCTTATCCCAACCCATCCGGATACACATCCTGTTCTATAAGGAAAACAAAGGAGGTGAAGCAGGGGGTCCTTTAGGAACAGGAAGCATTTGCTGGCGGATCTTGCTGGGATTGTGGATGGAGTGGAAGGGATTCGCACCCTGGTCTCCAGAGTCATAATCCGATGCTCAAACCACTGCACCACACTGGCAGCCCCATGCATGTCTTAGAGGTTTGTAAAGCAAGGAATATTCAGAGATAGTTTGCCTCTGATATACTGGGGCTGAGAGTGCGTGACTTGCCCAAGGCCATCCAGTAGATTTCCATGGCCAAGTGAGGATTCAAACCCTGGTCTCCAGAGTCATAGTCCAACACTCAAACCACTATAACACACTGGCTTCTTGCTTTCAGCACTTGTTATTCTTTGGCTGTTCCCCATCCAAATATTGATCCTGCTTAGCTACCAAGATCAGATGAAATCTGGTGCTCTCAGGGCTGTTGCTGTGTGCCTTCAAGTCATTCCCAAGTTACGGCAACCCTATCGTAGGATTTTCTCAGGCTGAGAGTGTGTGACTCGCCCAAGGTCGCTCAATGAGTTTGCATGGCCAAATGAGGATTCGAACCCTGGTCTCCATAGTTATTGTCCCAATGCTCAAACCACTACACAATGCTGGCTTTTTGCTTTTAAGTTAGGCAGGGCAAAAGTGTGAGAACTCCCATTTAGAGTAATGGATTTACCAAAGGAATTTGGAGTTAAAGAACACTGAAGTGTCATTGTCTATGTTTGGGTCCAAGTCCATCTGTGCATATCATTGTAGCTGTGCATTGCCTTCTATACTTGGCAAGGCATATCTGGTTGCTCATTTTTAGGGCTCAAAAGAGAGCTGGACATTGTTGTTACTCCTTGTATTGCTTTTTGATAGTCCTTAATAAAGAATGATGGACTGGTTGCTTTTAAATCCTGACCTTCCTCTGAGTCACTGAAAGCAGTATGCATGCCCTTAAATGCAACCATCTGAGGAATGTCCTGTTGAAACATAGCCCAAGGACACTTAGCTGTGTAAGGATTTGAACTGAGGTCTTCCTTCCATTTTCTCAGTGTTGCTTTACATCATGTACCCGGGCCTTGCATCTTCACACCACACAGTCTTTCTGTGCGCATAGGTCTTGGTTGTTGTTGTGTGCCTTCAAGTCGTTTCCGACTTATGGCGACCCTAAGGTGACCCTATTATGGAGCTTTGCCATTGCCATCCTCTGAGGCTGAGAGAGTGTGACTTGCC